TCTCCCTCTCTGACTTCCTCTTGCTTCATCACTTTGACCTTGTTTCCTTCTTGTGATTACATTGGGCACTGGATAATTCAGGATAATCTTCCTATCTCCAGATCTGTAGCTTATTCCCATTATAAAAGTTTCTTGGCCACATGAGGTCACATGTTCACATTTTCTGAAGATTAGGATGTGGACAACTTTGAGTGTCCTTATTCTGCCATCTCTGGCCTGCAGACGTTTGATAGACAAATAACTCATTCTTCATTCTTAGATTACAGTGATAAAGATTCTGATAAAATGATGTTATCTTATCAGTAAAACATTTATTTCTGATTTGCATGTATGTAGATATCTATACTCATATGTTATGCACATTTTGAAATACATGCCTTCATAAATTGTGGAAACTATGAGATTTAAATGAATGTAAATAGATGTTCTCAATTCCCCACACCCAGTAGATGGCCTGGTACATTCGTGATGAGCCTTGAGTCTTCTCTAGAGATCGTTCTTGTGAATCATTTGTTTCCACATTCAGTGTGAATCACTGTCCTGAATATTCCTTTTGCAGTCAGTAAAATATGCCGTTTACATAGCTCCCGGTGCTTGATCTCCAGAATACCGAAGTCATTAGAAGCTAAGTGTTGCTTTCACACAATGTCAAACTCCATCTCCACCACTAAAAACTGTCCAGCCTCCATCACCTTGTTCACCCTTCTGGGCCTCATTTTTTCATTGGCAATAGGGATAATGTCTGCTTTATAGGATTGCTTGGGGAAGTTGGAATGCTCAGTGGATTCCACCAACTATGCATAGCAAATTTTTTAAAAAGCCACATCTGTCCTGAGCACACACAGCCTTTTTCTTGTCCTTATTCTGTAAACGACACAGTAACTACTTACATAGCATTTCCAGTATAATCTAGAGATGTTGGAAAGCAAATGGGAGGAAGTACGTAGGTTGCATGCAAATACCTTGCCACTGTATTCAAGGGACTTGGGCATCCTCAGGTTTTTGTGTCTGTGTATGTAGTATGTATGGTGTGTATATGTGTATAGGAGGGATGTCCCAGGACCAATCCACTGAAAATACCAAAGAAAGGATTTTACCACAGACAGGTAACTGAAAACATCAGAAATATATTATCTTGCAGTTCTGGAGCCTAGAAATATCTGAAACCAAGGTGTTGGCAGGGTCCTGTTCTCTCTGAAGGCTCTAGAGAAGAATCTCCTTGGCTAATGACATCTGTAAAGAGCATATTTCTAAATAAGGTCACAGTCTGAGATTCCAGGGGATATGAATATTTTTTGGGGAGGAGGAAGGGGTAGAGGGGTTACAGTTCAACTCACTACAGTTCCCGTCTTACAGGGATTGCTTCATTAGCGAGGTCTGGGTTTGTCTCAATGCACCTGTTTTAGAACTCAGGGGCCTCTGAATCTGGAGAACCAGGGGAATGCAAGCAACACGGAAACCAGTGGTCTCATCCAACACCCCTCCCGTCACTGCTGGCACGGCTACTTTTTGCAAGGAAGAAAAACCATTGACTTGCTATTCTGTACACAACCCTGTAGTCCTTAAGAGTGCTTCCCACTTGGGCTTTTGGCATTTTCTGAAGAAGAAGGGAAAAAAAAAACCTGCTGTTTGATGTCACGCAGTAGTGTTTGTGTTTGCAAAATGTCTCTCCCATTAGACAATTCCAATTTAAAATACAGATTAGCTCTGACAAAACTGACCCAAGCTGGCTTTTCCCTTTGATGGTTTCAATTTCAGGCTTATCCATCACCAACGATTGCAATACAACAGGATTTTGACAGAACAGGGTGAGGGTTTTGAATTCTTACCTGCAATTTCCAGCTCTAGGGGATAATAGCAGAAAGAAAAACAACGATAACTTTGTTGTAGGATATGAAAACATACTGAATTTCCTCTTTGGGTTTTCATGCTCCCAGCCATTCAATAATCGCTTTCCCGGATGAACAAATACGTTCCATGGCACCAAATTATGAGCCTTAAAAAAAAAAAAAACCATCACAGATCTCCTTTTGCCTTAAGTGCAAGGAAGCTTAGGGGTAAAACTTCCCGAGTACAATTTCAGTAACTATTAGCTTAGATACTTATTATATTCAGGCCCTCTGTGTGCGGTTTTTCTATTCTATTTCTATTTTAGGATCTTATTGTCTGTATGATTTTACTTCCTTCCTGAATATCTATTCCTTTCTCTGACTTTTAACACTGCTCTTACTTTCTGATCTCTTGACAATTTTTTTTCCCTCTTCCACCTCCTCTGCCCACCTTTTAATGCTGATATTTCCCAAGATTCCTGTTCTCTCTGCACACATGCAGCCCTAGGGTTTCTCACACACCCTGAGGATTTTAACTGCTGCCTCCCAGATCAGTGTCTCTAACTTCCAGAGTCTGATTCAGCTTCCAGTCTATTCATCAGTTGCTTGTTAGGTGAACAGTGTTTGCATATGTCCCACAAATGTGAGATCATCAGCTTTTCCCTCGAGATTCTCACCTCTCCTTCCCCTGTTCCCAATCTCAGGCCAGAGCCCAGGAATTGGCAGGCGCTCGAAGACTCTCACCAGCTTCTCACCCTTGCATCCCATGTTCACTACCCTGTTGATCTCCCTTCTAAGTTTCTGAAATCTGTGTCTCTGCCTTCATTTCTGCTAGCTCTGAGTTTCCAACCAGCAGTCAGATAGTAAGTCTCACTTGGACTGGCCTCTCAGCCTCCTAACACGACTATAGTATGTTTACATGTTTCTGTGACTCCCCACTTCCTGCAGAAAAGAAAGCCCCTCCTGACTGGTCCCCGCCCCGCCCCCCTTCTCTCCTCCTACTGCTCCCTCCCCTTAGTTCCCACTTTCAGAGCCGCTTGTTATTTGCCCCGGCCCCATGCTGCTCCGTGCTGCTCTGTCAGACTGCAATGCCATCTCCATGATTCTTTGCCTCGCTAACTCTTACACAACCTTAGCTGAGCTCAGGTGTTATTCATTCAACTAGAATGTCAAGTACGTACTAGACAGTGTTGGAATCCCAGTGTGGAGCAGGCAGGAGGGGACTGCGGCCTCATGGAGATTTATTCTACTGAACTGTTCAGTGAAGTACAACGTTGGTTAAACGTCCGTCTGTCTGCTGACTCTCCTCAGCACCTTACGAATATGGTCCCGCTCTGCTGGGCCTGGTAGACTGAAACAATGGGGCTCTCTTTAATGCACTGTAAGTTTCTCACGGATGGGGACAATGCCGTTTCATCTCAACATTCTTAGTACTGGAGCAGTGCTTAGTACTTTGTAGATTCTCTGTACAGTTCTCTTGTTGAACTCAGTTACCAGTTGTGGGTAAAATACTCCATGTCTCAGTTCAAATTTCAGGTTTTCACAGAAGTCCTCTGGAACGTTCTAAAGCAGGTCTGACATTTGCATGATATACTCCCATTCCATCCCATGCTATTTCTTCGCAGAATCCTGCAGTTGTAATGATTTTTAAACTATGAACATTATAGTCTTGTGTCTGTTATCCATAGAGCTATTTTCTTCGAAATATTTCATCAGGCAATTTCATTGTGTGATTATCATAAAGTCTATTACACAAACCTAGATGATATAGCCTTTTACACACCTAGACATTATGATATCTATGCAAGGGTGCTTCAAAATCTTGTGGAAAAAATGAAATTAAAAGGGAATGCACGTTTTTCACAAACTTCTTGAAGCCTCCTCATATAGGATATCTCCTATTGCCCTGGAGTTACGACAAACAAAGCAGCAGGAGATGTAATCAACCACATGTGAATTGACCTCTCCACTCCTGGCTTCAGCCTAGCCCAGCTGTGGCAGCTTTGGGGACTTAGGCAATGAATCAGTGGATGGGACTTCTGTCTCTTTCTCTGCATGTGATATGACTAATATTTTAAAATTTAAAATATATAGTATAGTAAATATATGAACCAGTAACACAGTCATCATTTTCAAATATTATGTACTGCACATGATTGTATGGGCTATAATTTTGTATGATTGGTGATGTGGTAGGTTTGTTTACACCAGCATCACCACCAACAATGAGTAATGTTTTGTTATGACATTGCTATGTATGACAAAACATCACTGAGCCATAGGAATTTTCCACTTCCATTATAATCCTGTAACAGCACCATTGACTATGCAATTTATTGTTGATTAAAATACCATGATGCACTGCATAGCTATTTATTTAAATTTGATTTTCTGCACTAAGTTGTAAATTCTACATATCCCAAACTACAGCTAGCCTACAATAAGTGTTAACTGAAAGACTGACAAATTTTCTTGCTGGATAAAAACACTGAATGCATTGCTGGGGCCAACAGAAAAGTTACTAAGCCAATTGCCTTCAGACCCAGTGTCTCACTCTACACCTCTAGAAAGTGATGGTGTTCTACTTAAACTGCTGGATAGCAATTTAAAACCAAAGCAAGGGCTTGGTATCTTAGCACAGTGAGGTAAGCCACCACCTGCAATGCTAGCATCCCATATGGGTGCCCAGTTTGAGTTCCAGTGGTTCCACTTCCAATCCAGCTACTTGCTAATGTGCCTGGAAAAGAGGTAAATGAGGGCCCAAGTACCTGGGGCTCTGACAGCCATGTGAGAGATGCAGAAGGAATTCCTGGCTTCTTACCCAGCCCCAGCTGTTGCAGCCATCTGGGAAGTGAATGAATGGGTGAAAGATTTCTATCCTTCTTTTTCTGTCATCTGTCTGTCTGTCTATGTGTCTCTCTGTAACTGTGCCTTTCAAATAAATAAATAGCAAAAAAAAAAACCCTCTACAAATCAAGACAAATGTACATAAATAATTATAAATACAGACAAATGCACATAATAATTATATGTATATTAAAAAGGAAAGATAGTATGAAAAACTTAAACACATCAGCCAAAAATCCAGATGGGTTTTGAAATACCTATTTCAGGATGTGGAATTGTTTTTCTATCAGAAATGTAACAATTTCATCTCTTCTTCCTTCACAGTATCTGAGATTCTTGGGCATGATGGAGGATTGGGACAGGTAAAAAAAAACTAAAACTTTAGTGTTTGAAGTGTGTGGCTTAGATTTTAAAAATCCACAGTGGAGATTTGTAGAGACAGACTAAGGAGGCTAGAATATTGCTAAGTAGCAAAAATGCATTGTAACTCTAATAAAATAGCTAAGGAATTTGTAGTCTGGTACTATTGGCAGAAATAACATTGGGGGCACCTCTGTATTCACAAATACTTTGAAAAGCAGAAAGAAAAAGCTAAAAAAAAAAAACATGCAAAAACCCTACTGTGTGGTGCAGGATGAGTGGCATGCTAAAGAATGAACACTTGCCAACAGTGCTCCTCTTGTTTTCTGAGGGTGCCCTTCAATTAGTTTTATTATTATAAAAATGATTCAAGTCTCTTTAAGTAAAAGTGTCAGGCAGTACAGATGTCTAGGAAGAATGAGGTTTCCTCATCCCTTCTTTCTTCTTCCCCACCTCCCTTAGAGGTGGCTCGTTGCCTGCCCTTGCTGCCATCCCTCCTGCCCAGGACCCTGGGTATTGGAGAATGGTCCAGGAAGGGAGGAGCAGAGCCTGGCCAGTGAGTGGGAGATGGGATGGAACTCAGTGCCTGCCTTAGAGCATCACTTCTCAAAACTTTGAGCCCCAGAACCTCTTCACACTCTACAAGTTAACGATGAGAATTTAACAGAATATATTTATTTGCTCCTTTACAATAAGAATGACAAGTCTATTACATGTTAACCTAAATAATATCTGTTAGACCCTCGGAGTGGGGATGCTAACATGTCGAGAGGCACACCCCAAAGACTCAGAGTCCAGACCAGCTGATGCAAAAGCAAGAGGATTTATTTGGCGTCTGTGCAGACGGGCCTCCTGAACTCGGGAGTCCAGAGAGCGCCCCCAGCACAAAGCTACATGGTTTATATACCCGCAGCGACCAATCAAAAGCACTATAGAGTCCATGCACACAGCAGTCCAATCCGTGAGCTGATCATGTGAAGGGCATGCATCTTCTATCCAATCAGCTATGCGATCACACGGGAGGCATGCACCTCGTCGCCATTTTGTTGTTTACTTCTTTAGTAGTTCCTTTCCCTGCCAGCGCCATCTTGTTCACCCTGGGGGGGGGGGGACGACGTCTCGCTCCCTCTGTTCCCCTGGTGGGAGAGTGGCGTCCCACTTCCCACACTGTTATTTGAGTATTAGGAGGCATACAAATTGGGTTAGGTCTTAGCACAGCCAGGCACAAGTGTCGCAGCTAGCTAAGCATAGAGTCCCTTATTTTTATAGCTGCACCTAATTTTAGCTTTGGGGGAAAAAGTTTAGGGCTATAATTTTAAACTTTAATTTTTTATTTGGGGCAAAGGTAACTTCTTATTTTTAATAGTGTTAGCTTAAGTCACTCCATCTTGGTTTGATTTTTAAGGTTCTTCAGTATCTTGTCATAACAACTAATTGTGTTTCTAATAAAAATATTAGTGAGAAAAATGGTATTGTGTGACATTCTCACAAATCTCATTCAGGTCTAGTCTCATAGGAGACAGAGGGATTCTCATATCTGTTCAACACATTCCATATAATAAAGAACAATGGATGATGTAATCACATACCACATACATAACCTTTGGGAAACTCAACTGCACGTCTTGTTACAAAGTAACAGGGAAAATGGCAAATGTCTCATGAAAATTACTTTGACCTCACAGGCTTCCTGACCATACTTGGAGAAATACTGCAGTAGAAAATGTGAAAATGAGCTTCATTTTCTCTTTAATCCTGTTTTCTCTAGGAACCTAAGTCAATCATGAAAAGAGCTAGGACTATGGAGACTATAGCACTATGGAGAGCTCGAAGGATCTAGGCAGTGGCCAGGAAAGATTGACATTGGAAAACATAGCTCACAACACAGTTGTTTTCAGACTTCCAAGACATGCCGCTCTATGTGCCTGCTGTCTAAGACTTAGGGAAATTTTGAAGTATGAGTAGAATGTTCTAGCTTTTCAGAGATTTAAAGTAAGGCTGCCTTTGGTTTGATATTGAGACAGGTTGGGCCGGCGCCGCGGCTCACTAGGCTAATCCTCTGCCTTGCGGCGCTGGCACACCGGGTTCTAGTCCTGGTCTGGGCGCTGGATTCTGTCCCGGTTGCCCCTCTTCCAGGCCAGCTCTCTGCTGTGGCCAGGGAGTGCAGTGGAGGATGGCCCAAGTGCTTGGGCCCTGCACCCCATGGGAGACCAGGAGAAGCACCTGGCTCCTGCCTTTGGATCAGCACGGTGTGCCGGCCGCAGCATGCCAACCACGGCAGCCATTGGAGGGTGAACCAACGGCAATGGAAGACCTTTCTCTCTGTGTCTCTCTCTCACTGTCCACTCTGCCTGTCAAAATAAATAAATAAATAAATTAATTAATTAATTAATGAGACAGGTTGGGCAAGGCGTGGAGGAATTTTGGGAAGTTGCAGGTGACTGGAAGGTGTTATTGGGATGGAATGAGGGCGTTGGGCAGTGAGTGGATCCATCAATCGATTTGCCTGGGTCTCTCCAGGTGAAAATGATCGACCACACCTACCTGATGATGATCATTGCTCCTTGCTTGGGATTTATGCTGTTGGCATTGCTTGCAGTGTTCCTCCTGCGAGGTAAGGAGGGCAGAACAAGGGGAGATGGAACCTGGTGGAACTGTGGTGGCTCCAGAACTTGGGAGTCTATTGTTTCTGCTTCCACTCCATTGTCAGTTTGATCACTGTCATCCGGCAGTCGGAGAGGTAACAAGTAAACTGCTTCTCCATAAGGTGCTATAGCTGTATGATCACGTTTCTGATAGAATGCACATTTAGGAAAATAAAAAGGATAAGGGCTCCTTATTATTGGTTACTTATTGTGAGCCAGTCCTGATGCTGTACTTTTACTGTGCCTCAAATTCATTCCATTCTCATTGCTGCGTTGAGTGGAAGGTACTGTTATTATCATGGTCTCAGGGTTGAAACAATCCACACTTGCTTTGGCTATATTTGTCCCATCAAGAAAACCATGAATGATCCGGATTTCCAGTATTCCTTCAAAGCAAGCTTCCTTAATCTAGGAGTCACAGATGGACTTTAGGAGAGATGTGAATTCCTGGAAATCATGTTCAAGTATTTCTATATATTTGCATTTTGGGGGGAATTGGGTGCATTAAATGATCGAGCTGGCCTATGACCTTGCAACCTGACACAGAAAGTTTAAACATTGGTAAAGGAGCCATGAAACAGAGTTTAGCTGATTCACAGATACTCAATTAATGTTTTTTGCTAGTAGCTCTTCAGCTGTGGCATCAGTACCACTATTGCTATCATTTCAAATATATAAATAGACCTAAAAAACTGTACTTATCCTCTTCAAAGCAATGTATGGTATTTCAGTTTGGTAATTAGTAGTTCCCTTTCAAACAACTCTGAAGAAAAAAGAAATAGGGTTTATGGTTTTCATACAAGGTATAATAAGCATATGACACACACTGCCATTGTAAAATGGAGAGAAGTTATTCTGCAATCATTAGCAAAAGCTAATGCTTAGTAGCTATAGCAGTTAGTTTGAACAGCAGTAGTGAAATTTGGATTAGTTCAACAGCTGACCAAGATTAACACTGTAAAAGGAAATTTTTCTATTAGGTTTCATGTAAAGTCAAGGTTACAGTTTTAGAAAATTCTGGGTCTGTTTCATAGAAAAGTTTGAAAACCCAAGTGAGTACATGAATCCTGGGTAGGGGAATGACTGAAACGGGAACAGCTTAACCCCACTGCTCACAGTGTTGGAACAACTTTGAAATAGATGCACTGTGACTGTGGGCCTAAGCAAGCACTTGACCTCGGAACAGGACTGGCTTTGCCTACTAAAGCCAGTCCCTAACTTCTCACGTTAGGCCCACATTTACTCCTGGAAAGGGTATAGTGGACTTCCCCCAGCATTTCATTCTAGCGCAGCAACTCTGTTCACACTTTGGCCTTGTCTTTTCAGGGAAAGTCACGAAAACCAATTGTTTGCAGGAACACACAAGGTAATTCATCTTGCATGACTGATTGTTGTAATGATTGTACAAGCTGTTACAAATGATTAGACTCTACTCAGTGGTTTAATGACTTCTGCTTCTGTGATTAAACACAGGGTTGGAGAGATGTGGTATCGTAGGTGAAAAAGATGTGAGGGTTGAGCTCACTTTGAACTCTGTCTAGGTTAAGACTCTGTTCAAAATACAAAATGCAAGGGCAGAGGGGCATCCTAAGTATAGTACGCGAAGAAAGAAGATGCTAAATCACTCATTCTACTTCAAATTTGTTCAACTCTGGGTAAATCACTTTAAAAGGCCATTGCTAAACTGAAGTCCATTGATAGGAGAGCTGGCAGTGTGAAAAATGGAAAGAACATGTAGAATATTATGCCTGGGACTTGGTTCCTCCACCCAATTAGAACACAAGAACAGTTTTTGTTGTTTGTTTTGTCTTTTAATATTGTAACAATTTTTATTTTGGTGGATTTGAAAGTCAGAGAAAGAGATTTACAGATAGATAGGTAAAGAATGCCTGCAGATGCCCATTCCGGGCCAGGCTGAAACCAGGAGCCAGGAGCTCCACCTAGGTCTCCTGCAGAGGTAGTGCTTACTCAAGTACTTGAGCCATCACCTGCTGCCTTCCAGGGTGCACATTAGCAGACAATTGGAATCGAGAACAGAAACAGAGCTCCACTCCCAGCACACTGATGTAAGCTACGAGCATTTCAATGCCATAGTATAACAGCTAGGCCAAATGCCTGCCCTGATTTCTTTTATTGCTTGTTTTATTTTACATTCCACAAACGTTTTTATTATGCACCCACTGTGTGCCAGGCATTGTACAGGCAGTGAACAAAATAGAACAAAAATCAGACAAACATATCCTTTGTTGCTAATAACTGGAGTGTGCCCAGTAGGTAAGGTTACCTAGGTCCTGGCACCAAGTTCTGGCTGTACCCTCACCGCACATGGGTACATCACAAAGACACACCAATGGACCCAACAGGCCCCCTAAACTTACAGCCTGATGCCCAGTGATGGTTCCAGCTTTTTGACCTTGATGAGATGTGTCCCCCAGGCAGGTTGGGGAGGCCCGCCTAACTGTCTTGCTCCAGCCCTGCCGTAGGATGCTTTTGTGTTTTACAAGAGTAGCCTGAAAAGTCTCTGGAAATAGATTTTTTAGAGTTCTGCCTGGTTCTATAGCTTTTTGGGAAAGAAATGAGAAGGTTTGTTGTAAATGTTGTGGAGGGCTTTGCCTACACTCAATAATCCAATCAATCCATATCAATAAGTAGGGAAAATGGGGCCCAGGGAGGTGACCTGCGGAGGCCATGCTTAGAGATCCTTTTGGCAAACAGGTGCATCTGGGCATTGCCTTGGCATTTTGCTAGCAAACTTTCTGCCTGTCTGCCCTGTAGCCTCCGTTTTCTCCTGTCTCAAACGAGAGGCCTGGACCCAGTAAACTGTCAGCCCTTTGAACTCTTACGCCCTCTGGTCAGTTGCACTGCAGTTTAGCAGCGAGTGTTTATTTCTGGTCTTGGCATTTCCCTTTATCAGCCTCCCTTTTCTCTTTCCAGGATAGGCCATGTTGGAGAAACTAACAATGTCCTCCGTGACATGCAAAACGCAAGGGAAGATGAAGATGTCCTCTTTACGCTCTAGGACACGGCCTTTTCTTAGGCTTGCAGATGGGGATTGCGCTTGAAGCATCAACATCAGTCTCAGGATGTTTTCATTTTTGTTTTTAAAAAAAGGCTTCACCCATCCCATTTCTGTCACCCATCCAACCTTTGCTTTGGTGTCACACGTGAAATGCACTTTAGAGACGCACGTTCACCGCCCCGTGCTTTCCTCGTCTCCGTAGCAACACTGCCGGGTGATCTTTCACACTATGTCTGAACACTTGCGGTGGTGGCGCGTGCATTACTGCGCCCGTGGGAGTCCATTTAATCTCAGCGCGTTTCTGAGATTAGGAAATTCATAAACAAAGTCTGCCTCGGGGCGGCATCCGCCTGTTGGTTCTAACTGAACTCACGGTGCTAGCCTGGAAAGTGCCAGAGCGCTCCACCCTTTGGTAACTCCTCAGCTGCTGGAGGAAGACCTTCACGCTTCACCACGTTTTCTTGCTTCTGGGACAGTTTGTCATCCTGTCACTTCCTCAGTTGTCTGTGCCTTGTATATGTTTGCATCTTTTCTTTTTCATCCAGAGTTCTGAATTTAGTGCCTCAGTCCTGGTGTGGTATGAGCAGCCCAGGGTCCGTGCCTCATTCATAATGCAGGGAATGACATGAACTCAAACCATAATGTCCACTCACTTCTACAGTTCCCAAGTTTGCCTTTGTTCTCACATTGAAGTGTCTTTAAAAGTGGTCATAGTGTCATATGCTTTTTTAAAGATTTTTTTATTTGAAAAGCAGAGGAGAGAGAGAGAGAGAGAGAATCTCCCATCTGCTGGTTCATTCCCCAAATGCCAACAGCCAGGTCTGGGCCAAGTAACCCCATGCAGGTCTCTCCCATGGGTCGCAGGAGCTCACCATCTTCTGCTGCCTTTCCAGGTACATTAGCAGGGAGCTGGATCTGAAGTAGAGGAGTGGGGACTTGAATAGCATTCTGAAATGGGAGGCCAACTTCACAAGCAGTAGCTTAACCCACTGTACTACAGTGCCTGCCCTCATGTCCTATTTTTGAATATACCCAAGTTTTCCTGGGAGCAAAATGTGGTGAATGACAGGGGCATTCAAGAAAGGGCAGTGCATGAATGTGATAGGAAAGCAATCCAAATAAGTTTCTCTGAATGTAGGTCATAGAAATGTGCTCTTCCATATGAACCGTTTATTTAGAAGCTTTAATACCTATTCATATTGGGAGTCCTGGGAGAGAGGTGAAAGCAAATGCTGAATGAATGAAAAAAAAAAGTGTGCTTGATGAGTGAGGCTTCTGGCTGGGTGGAAATGTGGCAAGTAAACCAAACCCGAAAGGTATTTCTTGGAAGTATTTCCCCACATGTTTAGGGCAATGGTTGCTTTAATGGAATGAACACATGGTCCTCTAAGGTAATCATCTTTCAGATTTCTACCCTCATGATGTTATCTTTAAGAGAAAGAGATGATGGGGCCGCTGCTGTAGTGTAGTGGGTTAAAGCCACCACCTTCAGTGCTGGCATCCCATATGGGCGCCAGTTCGAGTCCCGGCTGCTTCTCTTCCAATCCAGCTCTTTGCTATGGCCTGAGAAGTCAGTAGAAGATGGCCCAAGTCCTTGGGTCCCTGCACCCACATGGGAGACCCAGAGAAGCTCCTGTTTCCTGGCTTCAGATCGGTGTAGTTCAGCCATTGTGGCCATCTGGGGAGTAAACCAGCAGATGGAAGACCTCTCTCTATTTCTCTCTGCCTCTCTGTAAATCTGCCTTTCAAATAAATAAATAAATAAATAAATAAAGGGAAAGAGATGTAGAGAGACAGAGATTTAAAAAATCACTCATTTCTAGGTGCAGCCTAGAGACTCCTTGCCCTGTTAACATGAAGTGAACCCAGCAGTTAGTAGACTACACTTCTGACCTGGGCCCTTGGAAACAACTGGCACCCTGCAGCCTGTCTTCTGCCACATTCTGTTGGTGTTGACCAGAGTGACAGGTGTGGCCCTAGTCAGAGAAGCAATAAGTAACAAATAGGTAGCCACTTCTTTGCTTGCTTGCTTGTTTGTTTTTGGCTTGACTTTGTCTTGATGTTGGGTTAAGATACTAATACTGAATTTGACTAGTGTGCCAAACTCAAACATTTGCTTAGAAACTGGGTGGTCTGGAGAGTTGGGGGGAAATGGGCCTAGAGACAGACTCAGGATTTCCATTTCCCTTCTGGAAAATGGAATGGGACTCGATGACTTTGTATGTGGAGTCAGTTTATAATGATACATATCACTGATCTCAACTCATCACACACCCTATCTGTCTTCCCAAACAACAACCACGATCAGTGTTACTGCCAGCTGGGGCCTTGCTAGAAAATGAAGATGGCAAAAAACTCCCAAACAGAACATCTCAACCCGGTGTCTATTTATTCTGTTTTGCAGAGGGGGGGCATCTTTAATCATTTCCCAAAGATATTTCTGGATCTCCTTGGTGAGATTAAGAGATATTTATGTGAATAACCATAGTATTTTGGAACTGGTACTAGCCTCCAAGAGCCTTTAGACCAGTAGTTCTCAAGTTTAGCTGAACATTGGAATCAAATTGGGGGGATTTTTTTAAAAAAGATTTATTTATTTGAAAGGAAGAATGACAGAAATCGTGTGCCATTGGTTCCCTCTCCAAAGGGCTGCAACACCTGGAGCTGGGCGAAGCCAAAACTAGGAGCCAGGAGCTCCAGCTTGTGCATGGTAGGGGCCCAAGTACTTGGGCCATCTTCTACGCCCCTCTCAGGTGCATTAGCAGGAGGCTGGATCAGAAACAGAGCATCTGGGACTGGGACTGGACCTGCAAGGATTCCAGCCTTGCAGGTAGTCGTAACCCACCATGGCACAATTCAGGCCCGAGTCTACCCTTGAAGAAAATCTTTTATACTCAGTGAAACAAAGACATAAGCCTCAGCCATTCTAGCCTATTGCCCAAAAGAGATAAAATTGGAATTTATCCCTTGCCCCTGAATCTCAATTTGGTCTCATGCCCTAATTTTTTTTCAGACTTATTTATTTGAAAGGCAGAGTTACAGAGAGGTAGAGGCAGGGAGAGAGAGAGAGAGAGAGAGAGAGAGATCAATCTTCCATCTACTGGTTCACTTCCCAAATATCCTCAAAGGCTGCAGCTGTGCCAGTCTGAAGCCAGGAGCCAGGAGCCAGGAGCTTCCTCTGGGTGTCCCACGTTGGCAGGGGTCCAAGGGTTTGGGCCATCTTCTGCTGCTTTCCCGAGCCATATCAAAGAGCAGGATCAGAAGTGGAGCATCTGGGACTCAAAGCGGTGTCCATATGGGATATGGGAACTGCAGGTGGCGGCTTTACCTGCTATGCCACAGTGCTGGCCCCCTCATGCCCTATTGTTTTTACCTTCCCCCATTCCCCTCCCACATTCTTCCCCAGTTTCAGAAGCCAGTGAGCCAAACCTGTATGGAGGAATTCACTTCCACTTGTTGCCCCATACTCCCACCCCCATGCCAGCCCACCTAAGACATAGAAAAGCCCAGCCCCCAGGGTCAGGGCCCTCTGCCATGTGTTCAGTCTGTGCACACTGGCAGTTGGTCACCTACCTCTGCAGATTTATTTTCTCTGAATAAATTCTGTCTGGCTGCAAATTATTCTCATGCCCCCTCTCTATTCTGAGCCTCTGTTCCTCTCATTTGGTGCCCCATGCGAGGAGGCACCAATCTGCCCTCTTCCTTACACTCAGTCCTGGGTGTGGCTTGGGCATCTGTATCTTTAAAAAATATGCCCCAAAGTGACTGAATGTGTAGCTAGGGCTGTGAACCACTGCTCTACCTCAGTAGTTCTCAAACTATGCACTACGCACCAGCAGCCTCAGCATTGGCTAGAATTTGACAGAAATGCAGATTTGGTGCCCTGGGGGTGGAGCTGCTACTCTGTGTTTTAAGGGGGTCTCAGTTGATTCTGGTGTGCACGACAGTTTGAGAGCCACTGCGGCCCCGTAATGATTCCCAACAGGCGGATTGAGATTTCAAGGAAAGAGCCTCCCTGTCGCAGGGCTGTTTCTGTGGTGGTGGGCCTGGCCAGGAGTTCCCAGCACTAGCAGGCAAAGGCCTTGCTGCTTCACTCTTGTTAGCTGATGTCACTGCTGTAGTCGCTTTTTGACCATAATCACCAACCTCATTCCTTTCTCTAGCTCATTTCTTCTCCATGCTGCGCCAGAGGTATCTTTTCTCTGTGCACGTCTGAGATTCCTGTCTCCTGACTTCCGGTGCTCTTCCACTCACCTGTGGCCCTGATTCCTGCATGGAGGCAGCACACTCAGGCTATGCCCTAGTGGAGGTGCTGTGGGGGACAGGTCACTGACCCTGCTGACCGAGGCATGGAGAGGCGGTCTGGCCTGTGAAAACTGGAGTGTGTGTCCTGTTAAATATTACAATTGAAAATTAGTTCAAACAATATCCTGGACAAGGAAGACAAAGCAGCCAGTTTGATGCTTAGGGTAGGTAGTAGGCTTTACAAAATAACAAATTAGTAAACATAATTCTTATACAGAAACTTGTTGGTCAGTGTAGGTTTTTTTTAAACTTATCTTTCATCTACTGGTTCACTCCACCTAAAAACTGGTGATGACTATGGCTGCTCCAGGCTAAAGCCAAAGTTGGTAACTCATTCCAGTTCTTTCATATTGATGGCAGTGATCCAAGGACTTGAACCATCATCTGTTGTCTCCCAGGTTGTGTATGAGAGGAAGCTGGAATGGACAGCAGAGCTGGGATTAAAATCCAGGTACTTGCTGGCGCCGCGGCTCACTAGGCTAATCCTCCGCCTTGCGGCGCCGGCACACCAGGTTCTAGTCCTGGTCGGGGCGCTGGATTCTGTCCCGGTTGCCCCTCTTCCAGGCCAGCTCTCTGCTGTGGCCCAGGAGTGCAGTGGAGGATGGCCCAAGTACTTGGGCCCTGCACCCCATGGGAGACCTGGCTCATTGGAGGGTGAACCAATGGCAAAGGAAGACCTTTTTCTCTCTCTCTCATTGTCCACTCTGCCTGTCAAAAAAACAAACAAACAAAAAACAAAACAAAACAAAACAAAAAAACCAAAAAAAAACAGGCACTCTGGTATGGGACACATGGAGTCTTAAGTGGCAGCTTAATTGCTGTGCCAAACCAGAGGAGGTTGTTGATATAGCTGTTTCTTTCAT